TAAGAGCCGCCGCAAACTACAGGATGCGGGAGCTAGCGTACGCTCGCTCGCGCTCCTAAGCCCCGCCTTTTTTCCCATGATGCTTTGAGCCATTTTTGCTAGGTAAGCTACGCGAGCACGAAGCAGCCGCAAACTACACAACGTTTGCTCGCGTAACGTAGTCCACATGACGTGGATTCCACAGATGTAGATTGGCTATAGAACAAGATTTTATTATAACCTATACTTGTAATCAGTCAGTTTTCGTTCCGAACTTTGAAACAGCATGGAAAAAAACATGTTTACTAGTTAAGCCTAACTAGACTTAACTAGCCGAAAACTATTTACAGTATACTTTATATTACTATTTACATACAACGGTTATACTATTTTCTTTTCAATACTGAATGTATTAATCATGTAATTTACGTACATCGATAAAATTCTATTATTTTTTTCGATATGTGACACGTTTATGTAGTCATCCGTCTTCCCCGCTCTTTCTTACTAGCGTAAATGCTCTAGTTGTTGAATTCTGTAAACAGCGAGCGTAATCTCGTATCGCTGCGCTAGCGAAGGAAAAACATCGCGGGCAAGAAAGGGGCGGAGCCTTCGACGTCATCGGTTGTGCTAGCGCATGTTTGCTAGCGTTTTGCTCTAGCAAAGCGCTAGTTTGCGGCGGCTCTAAGAGTAAAGGTTAGTGCCGAGTGGCTGTCAGTGAATAACTTATATCTATTTAATAGTAATAATACAGAATGCGAGTGCGAGACAAGGCTAACTTAACTGCTAGATAGACAGCACGAAAAACAAACTAGAACGACGACAAAACCGAATGGACAGACATCAGGACAAAACACAAATGATCAAGACTTCAAAGTTTTTTCCACTCTAACCTAACATGTTCTAATTTAACTTACAACTAAGACTAACCGAAAACTGAGTGGAAAATAACTAGAAGAAAATACAGAAAATAAAAAGAAAGAAAAAAAAATAGTAACAATGTAGCTATTGATAAACTACAGAACAAAGCATGGGGANAGGAAGAAAAGACAGACAGTAGGATCCATCTGAACGGCGTTCGTTTGGATAGTTAACCTTCTAAGTTTAATGTTGGTGTGCAGTTTTTAGGTTGGAAGGCCGTGGCCCCCCGTAGGGTCTAAAAATCCCGAGTGTAGCGAACACCATTAATTGAGAGCCGCCACGAATAGCTAAGAATAAAGGTTAGTGCCGAGTGGCTGTCAGTGAATAACTTATATCTATTTAATAGTAATAATACAGAATGCGAGTGCGAGACAAGGCTAACTTAACTGCTAGATAGACAGCACGAAAAACAAACTAGAACAACGACAAAATCGAATACACACACAGTCCGGACAAAACACAAATAAGCAAGACTCCCAAAGTTTTTTTCCACTCTAACCTAACATGTCCTAATTTAACTTACAACCAAGACTAACCGAAAACTGAGTGGAAAATAACTAGAAGAAAATACAGAAAATAAAAAGAAAGAAAAAAAAAATAGTAACAATGTAGCTATTGATAAACTACAGAACAAAGCATGGGGAAGCTAGTTGCCATCTATTGCACAGGAGTGAATACACTCAATGTCCCTACAAAGGGATGTGAAAAAATGGAATATTGTAGGCATGTGAATGAGTTGGTGCAGGCTGCATGCCAGTTGTAACTTTCAACAATAGCAGCTCTAATTTAACTTTCCCTTATCATCCACATATATGTGAAGAAAAAAATTCTCCGAACTTTCGAGCCCCGAAAATTTTACAAGGATATTAAATAAATTATTTTCTAAACAAACGCAAAAATATTAAGGGTACATGTCGGAATTAAAACCTTTTAAAATTAATTATACGAGTTTTTCATTGTAATAATATATAAATGTACACATAAAAAGATATATTTTTATTCATAAGCGAAATCATATGTGCGTAACAGCGAGTTACTTAATTTGAAATAAAATTTTCTTTTAGTAAAAAATGTATCTATAATTGTCCATATTTACTTCGAATTATTTCAAGTTAGAAATTGCTGGACATTGGGCAGGTTTCTGAAGGCAATTATCACGCCACTTTTAAATGCGAATCAAACCTTTCATGTTAATAACTTTTTTTTGTGGAAATGAAAAGTATTAATTTACAAAAATTATTATTTTAATCTGCTGCCTTTTTAAAAAAAACAATAATACTGGTTTAATTCACTAAAAATACAGACAAATAAATTTGGTTAAGTGACAATTATTATGAAGATAAAATCTTTACAAAGTAGAAAGAAAGATCTGTAACGACCCCTGCACAGTTTTTCCGGCTGAGCAGTTAAAGTTAAATTCTCTTTACGATCTTTAAATCGCATCATATTTTTGCATAAATTTAATTATAGCTTCAAGCATGCCAACAGATAAAAATTGTTAAACACTGATGGAAACGAACGAGTTAACTTACACATATCATTGCTNGCAGTTTTTCCGACCGAGCAGTTAAAGTTAAATTCTCTTTACGATCTTTAAATCGCATCATATTTTTGCATAAATTCAATTACAGCTTCAAGCATGCCAACAGATAAAAATTGTTAAACACTGATGGAAACGAACGAGTTAACTTACACATATCACCGCTCCGGCAGAATTTTTACTTCAAATTTCGAACTAACCGAATTCCTTAACATGTGAAAATCTATTACATCCACGGCCGAAACAAAAGTACAGAAACGAACTAACAAAAATTTCCTGTATTAAGGATCAGACAGCAATATGCATTGTCGTAATTAAATCGAATAATTTAATACGGACAAGTGTCCATGGAACAATTCTTTATTCGAGAATGTTTTACATAACATTTTAATTACATATTAACAATTCAGATATTGATATGAAGTCACGATAATTAAACTCATTAAGATAAAAGCGTGTTTCAAACAAACACATAAACACTGTTCTAGATATTCAGGCAAAATTTGCAAAAGAAAATTTCAGCAAATTCGAAATCTTTAAATTTTGTGTTAAAACCACGTGTGCCAATAAATAGTGAGTTCTGTCGACCAACAAAAAGTTGTTTGTTGTAGAATTATATTTCAAGGAAATTACATCCAAGAATGAATATTGTGATGCTTTTGTAGTTGAAACTTTCAAAAAATTAAAAAATGACTTTAATTTTAAACTGGGTTTACTTGTACCTTATGATTATTATACATAAATAAAAATTATAAATTTCGAAGGAAAATTATTTCTAATTGTGAAAATTGTAATGGTTTTGTAGGTCTGTGTTTCGAATGAATTTCTCTGGACATAATTGACATTCATACAGTTTTTCTCCGTTGTGGATCCGAAGGTGTCTAATTAAGTTTCCTTTTACTGAAAACTTCTTTTTACATTCTTCACAAGTGTAAGGTTTTTCTCCGGTATGGGTGCGAAGATGTCTAAGAATGAATTTCTCTGGACATAATTGACATTCATACAGTTTTTCTCCGTTGTGGATCCGAAGGTGTCTAATTAAGTTTCCTTTTACTGAAAACTTCGTTTTACATTCTTCACAAGTGTAAGGTTTTTCTCCGGTATGGGTGTGAAGATGTCTAATTAAGACTCCCCTTTGTGTAAACTTCTGTTTACATTGGTCGCAACTATAAGGCTTTTTTCCGGTGTGGGTGCGAAGATGTTTAATTAAGTTTTTCCGTTGTGTAAACTTCTTCTTACACTCGTCACAAGTGTAAGGCTTTTCTCCGGTGTGGGTGCGAAGGTGTCTAATTAAGTTTTCTTTTACTGAAAACTTCTGTTTACACTCGTCACAAGTGTAAGGCTTTTCTCCTGTATGTATTCTTTCATGACGTTGCAAGTTTTGTTTAGTTGTGAAGTTCTTGTTACAGTGTTTACATGAAAATTTCTTTCTGTTCCTTTTATCTGCAATTAAAAAAATTGTGTTAAATATTTTATTTGTGTGTAATAAATTAATTTTCTTCACTAGAAGCAATAAATAACCAAGAATAGTATTTAACTATAAATAAACATTTATATTTCGAAAAGCAGATTTCTGCATCAAAACATAAAAACTAATTTTACAGATGAGAAACTTCGAGTATAAATATATCATATTACAAATATTCTTAAACAACTAATCAAGGCTGACACATTAAAGTAAACAATTTCTGTAAAACATTTTAAAAGTGTTTTTATATCTTCATGCTTTTTCCATTGATCCTTATTTCATGAAATAGATTTGCTCCTCCTTTTTCAAGTAAAACACTATCTAATATACAACTTTTTTCTTTAATCTTGGAAAAATATTTTCTTCTAAACGTTGTGTTTCATCCAAAGAACAACTGAAAGTAACAACACACATGAAATAAATTCTATAAAATTTAATTTAATTTGACTGTTTTAACATTAAAATGTTTTATTCATAATCTTATTGATTCGTATTGTTAAATATATAATTGCATAATATGTGAAATTCGAATAAAACGAATATTGTATTTTTAAAAAATACTTCCTTCATAACACGTTTCCTATAAAAAGATTTACAACGTTCAAGCCTGTAAAATACAAATACTTAAGAGTGAATCGTAGATTTCATTCTTGCAGGATTGAACTTCGTTCTTCTTCTCCTTTATTAGTTTCCGTTTTCTGTATTTTCAAGAAGAAAATTAACTGAATGGAAAGAATAAAACGATCTTAAATATCAGACAGATTCATATTCAATAAATTTTGATACAGTGATTAAAATTTCAATTTTCTGTGTTAACTGTTTTAAAATATATAAATTTCCTTCTTTAATTATTTCATATTAATTAACAGTGTACAGATTTAGTAACATTACAATAAATTTTTCAGAAATCTTATTCTGGTATTCGAAACTCAACTATGATCATATTCATTAATTAAAAATTTTATTAAATTTTATGTAATACATCATTAAAAAATCCAGCAACGAGTTTATTATTAATAACTTACCTGGCAACATTTAATCTGTGTGTGCCGCCACCTGTTATGATATTTAATAATTACAAACATTCCATATTATTATTATAAAATAGCAAAAAGCTTACTGTTTTGGGTAGGGATGAGATTTATAAAAATTGTCAATGGGAATAACGTGTGAAATCATTAAGTTTGTGAACGAGGGTCGTTTGTCATATCTCCAGTAGGACCACTACTGCAGATGTGACACGACCTTCGTTTGTCTGTTTACCCCCTCGATCTTTAACCACCAAAATTGAATTGCGTCAATACTCCCAGTAGAGAAACATTACTAAAAATTTCAAAGTTTTGTACAGAAAGCAAACAAACGAGTTATGCTTCGGAAAAGTAAAGAAAATAGTGCATTTCACACACACCCACAAGAACATCCATATACAGTGTGTGATTGGTTAACAAACAAATCGGATAACGAACACTTTACTGAACAAACACAAGAAGCGAAGTAAAATAACGAATACTGTTTGGTCTTCCTTTGTCTTCAGGCAACAATTCAAAACTTTTCGGAGCGCGGGAGACGTCGACATCGACGTTCAACCTAGTATATACTGATCGGTTAGTATCTCCCCGAACTTTGAAAATCTCTCGTGTAATTCTAGCTTTTTATATTTCTGATAGAAACAATTCTTTTACGTTTTCTTTTGAGAAAGCAGATTTATGCCGATATCTGCTATTAAAGATCTTTTGAAGAAGTGGGAGGATGTCAGAACAACGATCTTACAACGGCATCCAAACCAGGTTGAGGTTAATAGGCGTAGAGATCTCTATAATTACAATGCGATTAATTACTTCTGAAAAATCATGAAGAAGACAGAAAAGCAATCGACTTTGAACAAATTCTTTAACCCCCACAAACGGAATAACAAATAAAAATGCAAGACCTTGTAGCCTATATATGGACCGTTTATTTTGAAAGTGGTGTAAGTCCATTTTTGGAAAAAATTGAGAAAACACATAATATACATACAATTTAGTGTGAACTTTTTATTTATAAACAATTCACACTTAACATTTTAAAATAACCATAAGCTTTGATCAATTGAAAATTTATCGATAAATGACATTGCATAACCATTGATTTTGAAAGTGGTATAAGTCCATTTTCTACAGTCTAAGCACTTGGGCTATCCATAAATTACATGTGCATTTTTCTTGAAATGTTTACTTTTCCCTCTTGTCCCAGTTTGTCCAAGTTTTTGTAACCCCTTTCCCTCTATGGATGTCCAACATAACTCTATCCCTGTTAAAACCTTCATCACTTTATGAATGATAGATACCATAAGTAGAAATGAAACATACAAGAAACTTTGAAATAAATATAATAAAATGCATATTGTATAAAATTTAATGAAATAAATGGATGTCCACTAATACTCAACCCTCCTTGTCCAACTTGTCTTAACCCCTCCCTCCCTTTCAGTGTGGACATCATTTAAAGACAGCCCCTTACAACAGAAGAGTAAAACTGTAAATATTACCAACAAATGTACAATTTGATGGACTAGAAAAAAATCCATGTAATGAATCTAAATGAAAAGCAGTGTCTAATGGTAAGCTCATAATAATGATAAATTTATCATAAAATAGTTTAACAATAAGTAAATATTTTTAATGTTCAGAATAAACAATACTATTTTATTTCTTGTTATTATATATGAACAAAATCAGAATAAAACGCAATGTGTTTCAAGTGACATTGAGTTTTACATAATAGAAATTTAATGAATTTTACAGTTTAGTAATTATGAAAGTGGTGTAAGTCCATTTATGGCCCAGAAAGAATATATTAGTTTGGATAAATTCACATAGAAGTCTTTATGCAATCAACTTACATATTTCTAAAGTCATAGAAACATTGTCAAACTTAGTACACTTTGTTTATATTTTTGAATCAACTAAAATGCAAATGTTTAAATATCTCGAAAGAAGAAAAAATGGACTTACACCACTTTCAAAATAAACGGTCCATATGTATTTTTATTATTACATATGAATAAATGCAGTAAGAAAGTATATATTTATTACTTTTGGGAGTCTCCAGAACGAATTAATCAAATTCCCATAGAAACGTATGGTAAATCGATAATCGGATAACGAACAAAATCTTGGAACGGATTATGTTCGTTAATCGATTATCCACTGTATATAGAAATATTCCTCCAAACATTTTTTTTTGTATTTTTTTGACGTTTTAATTAAGGTCTCGACTTCAAAAAACTAAAAATCTTGAATGGTCATTTTTTTCACCGATGGACATAGTTTCCCTCGGTTATGTACGACAACCAGGAAAGTAATTACTGAAGTAAAATAAATTTTCTAAATAAGAGAAAGGTATCAATGATTATCACAAAAAAGAACCCTATCCGAATATTCTCACGTACTCCTTCTATGACGTCATGAAGTCTAGATTTAGGTCCGTACGTAACGATAACCCCGAACTGTTTCCAAGGTTGAAAATGAAGAGGTGGGCGTCAATAATAACAGAGAAACCTTTTTGACGTCCCGGTATTTTACGTGTATAATGTAAACAAAACCTTCCCAAAAATATTGATATATTAAAATAACGTATGTAAAATATAAATCTAAATTAGAATAAATATGTTTCGTATACTGAGGAAAAGGTAACTTAGATAACGCTTATATATTGTATATAAAGCTATACACCTAAATAATCTAAGCTAATCGTAATACCAGAAAAAATAACTTATAAAATCAATAAATAAATTATTTTCTAAACTAATTTATTATCTATTATATTCATAAACACAGGTTGATTATAGGCTAATTATTACTAATTAAAAGTAATTCAATGGGAAATAATAATCAAACGAACCCGTTAGATTCAATCCCTACTTTCTCATAAAAAGCATTCAGTCAAGCTTGATGTGGGAATTTCTAATATTTATATAATTTAAGTTCGTTTTTATGTGCTAAATTTATTTAATTTCAACGTTGTCGGCAATTTTAAATGAACAATATGACACTTAATATTGATAACTCTGCTGCTTGCCCTTACATTATTATTATTCAACGTATTTTCGATTTCTATTTTAAAGCTTACCAAATAGCAATCAAGTATTTCAAAGCAATTTATTACAGTTGTAAATAATTGTATACTCGATTGCTGTGTGATTAGCCAATAAATATAAATTACAACGGTCTTCGTTTATGCAAGAATTACGTTAAATAATATGACATTTAATTGTTCTCTTAGGGTGCGACAATGTAGACGCGAATTTAGAGCGAGCGACAGGTTGCGAGCGATTTAGTTTCGCAAAGGAAAACCATGCACAAACGAGAAGCGAGAAATAACGCTGGCTAGAGCGAATTCCTGATTCTCGCATATATCTGACAGGTTTTGATATTTATCGCGTCTCGTTTCTTCTCGCCACATATTCTCGCTTGCTCGCGTCTGCATAGTCGCACCCTTATTGTCAAAGCTCTTAGAAAATTCAATATAAATTGATTAATCACACTATAAAAAAGTAAATAAATTCGATTAAGTCTGAATGAAATATAAATATCTAACAAGATTATAAGCGTGCAGTTCAGTTTTTATTTTTGATTAAGCAAATATTAAATCTATATAATATCAATTATTTAATGAAAAGTTGAACTCTAGACTTACAGGTTAAGAGGTCGTCAGTCGGAAATAAGCTTTTTACCGAATAATGAAATTTTTTACTTGTCAAATTTAATATAATTGTTAAATCAAACAATAAATTAATGTTATACAAAAGGCATACTTTAAATAATTATCAAATTTTCAAAAATGCTTACTTTTTACATTAGCATATTATTTCTGTTGCATGAATTTCGCAATGTCTTGTAAGATTGCTGAAAATGCTTCGTTTTGACGGGTTTTCTCTTTTCCACATAAACTCGATACGAGTTGAGATGATGACGAGAAGTACTTCTCTGTACCTTGTTTCTCCATTTACAATTTCCCCGTAACCTCTCTATGTTCTGAGTGTGACATCCGGTATCCTCATCGGCAAAGTTTAATTTGTGATTCACTTGATAATGAAGATATCCTTTTTGTAATTCTTTGGTACTATAGCCTTTCCAACAATCCGAAAATATGGTTGCTCCTTCATGAACACGATTTTCCACTTTCTTCAATAACGTTTCTGCCGAACGATCTGACACTGGAACGAGGAAACATTCCTTTGTCTCTCAATATAGTCCACCAAACACCCATTGTTGATGTCAGTCACGATCAACATTGTACTTCCGTCTTGTATACATCGTTTCTTCTATTTCAACTATCTTGTCAACACTGTCTACCTTTCCGTCACAACGAGTCATTAAAGAATGGTCGCACACCTCCCTCCTGTAACTGTTCCAATTGATGGTTGTAGAGAAGTCAAGTACTACTTGCATTTTACAACATTCCAAAGAAAACAGTTCCAACTACCAAATGTATGTAAAACGCAAAGCATCAAGGAAGGATATACGTAACCCGAAAATCCAGTTATCTATCGTAATGCCCCTTTTCTGTCGACACGTCCTGACATGGCATCTCCATTTCGGAGCTTCTGTTTCACAAAAATACAAACTCATTGGATGGTCATTCTTGCAAATACGTTCAGAATGTAAAATTTTTTTTTTCTGAAACAAACTAATAGCTCTACGTTTGTCGTTCGGTAAGTCCTAAAAGATATATTCCATTTTCAGATCTTGGTAATGAACGTGATAATGAATCTCACAATGTAAAACAACGAGCAACTTGCACATCTACTTTGCATAATCGTACGAGCGAGTCATGATGTCACATCTACTTATTTGAATCAACGATTACAGAAAAAGCCTAAAGCAACGACTAATAACGTAGAAAAAATAATAGTTACATGCAATAAAATAATAAAAATAGCCACACTCCACGATTTATAAAGATTTAACAAAATTTCTCAAATTGTAATAATAAACCACTTGAATATGCTAATTATTTTGTAGAGTATACGGCAAATATGGCAAAAGGTGATATCTATAATCATCCTAATTATTATTTTTTTTTCATTTTTACAACCTTAACAGTAATTTTTTTTTTAATTTAAATTTACTAATCTATTTTTATTTTGATATTTTCAGTAAAAATCGCGACTTTATTCGCAATTTCCGACTGGCGTCCTTTTAACCCATAAGTACCATTTTACATTACAAATGTTTAAGTACAATATCCTTTTATCATTTTGTCCAGGGCTGTGGAGTCGGAGTCGGAGTCGTGGAGTTTTGATATTTTAGCCGGAGTCGGAGTCGTCAAAAAATCCGCCGACTTCGACTCTGTTTTACTTACCAACTTGTTATGTATATAAAATGGAAAAGTATTGGAATCGTGTCAAATTTGACCCTCCAATTTTTTTTTTTTTTTTTTT